GAAGGAAGGAAGGAAGGAAGGAAGGAAGGAAGGAAGGAAGGAAGGAAGGAAGGAAGATATGCCATTGCAACTTTGAATGGTCACTAAATGAACTGTTGTAAGTCAAGGACCACCTGTACTTCTAAAGTAATAAATAAGTTCAGAAACGTATAAGCCTGGCAGAGGAAGAAGGCTGGGCTTTTGAAGTCGACTGCTGCTGTGAAGCTATGGAGTCGGGGCGTAGTTACGGGAGATCCAAAATAATAAATCACAAGCTCTTCCTGAGAAAACTAGTCTCTCGCACAGAAAAAGAGATCCAACATGATAAGCAGCCCCAGCAGGAAGACGGCTTTTTATAGAAAAACACCAAAGGTTATGAACGTTCCCAGGCGGCCAAGCCAATCTAAAGTGGCACACAATCCAAATGCCAGGTTAATTAAGTTTCTGCTGTTTCTCTGGAAAGCAATAAATCTGGGGAGCCAGAGAAGCGCCCGGCACGGGGGTCCCACAAAGCCTGCTGAAAAGTCCCCATCGCCCTTCCAGCAGCGGGCAGGGCACAATGAGCTGGCCTCAGCAACTCACAAGGAAACCAGCCAGGGAGAAAATCAGCTGACTCATATTTAGGGCTCCAGGCAGCTTAAAGCCACTGCAGAGGCTGAGGTTCTGCAAACCCTTGGCAGGTAAAGGACTGGGTGGGAAATGAAACCGGGCTCAGCAGGCTGCAAAGTTTTTTTTTTTTCAGGGACAGAAAAGAGGGAATATTTTAAAAGACTGTAGGAAGTTAGCACCCCCCCACACCTCCCCTAGAAAAATGAAATATCCTGGGAAATATGGAATAGGCAGAATATTATATTTCCCTGGATAAGAAATGGAGAAGCATGTTTTTAGGCAGGAAACACACTCACTCTTAATGGCTCCCACCTTTCTCGATGGACCATTAGGGGTTCTGCGCTAGTCTACTCTACATAACAAAGATAGGATTGGCCTTCTACAGAAACTCGCCACCTGGCATCTGGGAAGAAGCAATGCTCAACCAAACTTGGATTCAAAGCACAACCTAAAGAGTTGCCGCTGCATGGCCCCATGAGAGCCTGACAACCAATCAGAATACAAGCTCAAGCTCAAAGGCCAGAGAGGGCATAAAACTAGGAACTTTAAGCCCCTTCTCCCTTTTTTCTTCTTCACCCAACATCTGGAAGCAGGGGATCCACCTTTTCTGTTTAGGAGCTCAAGCCATGTGATCCTGTCCACCATTAAACCATCTTTCCAAACAGCCTCCGTGTTTCCAGTGTCTTTTTCCCCATTTGGAGCTGAACCCAGAAGGACATTTCTTCCAACAAGACTCTGCAACAAATGCATTTGGGGGGGGGGGGGTTATCTGTGTCCTCAGGGTCACCTAAGTGGTGCTCCTGGTTTCTGCAATTTGCAATCCCCCCCCCCTCTGGAAATCCTTTCCTATTCCCACACCATTCAAAGGGGATGACCTAGGTGACTGAGAACCTTTACAGACTTTTAGCTATCCAATTTAGGATGAACACCCTTGGAACGATGTGGGAGAAGGAATGGATTTTCAAAGGGAAACAATTGCAGACTCCAGGAACCATTTGCACCACTCAGGTGACCCTGAGGGCACAAGGAAACCTCCAAGTGCTTCAAGGACCCTCTAAAAGGATGCAAATGACCAGCTGTCTGCAAGGAGCATAAATCCTTCCATTTCCCCACCATCCAATCAGAGCTGAAGAAGCCTCTTGGATGAGGAGCGAAACGTCTTCAAAGAAAAAACAAGAAAGTCCAGTTGCCTCCTGAAAAAAGGACCTTTGGGACAACCAGGACTAGTGACTTATAGTGGTTTTTTCATACTTAAGACCCCTGAAGCATCCCCATGGTCGGGCGATCAAAATTGGCAACTGATTCATATTTATGACGGTTGCCGTGTCTTGGGGTCATGTGATCCCTTTTTTGCGACCTTCTGACAAGCAAAGTCAATGGGGAAATTAAATTCACTTAACAGCCGTGTTGTTAACTTAACAACTGCAGGAATTCTTTTAACAACATGGCAAGGAAGGTCCTAAAATGGGGCAAAACTCTTTTTTTTTTCTTGCCTGGGAAGTTGAGGACCACTCGAGTGGATGAGGAGAATGACAGGTCCGCTTTGCCCAACTTTCCAAACTCTGAACGTGGCCCAGAGTCTCCAAAGCAGCTCAAACTTAACATGAGGTGGGGACTGGAAGGCCAAAACAGGAAGCAGAACTGGTGCAAAGTTCTCCTGTCTGTGCCGAAATTCCCAAACATGTTACAACAACTCCCATCAGCCTGGGCCAAGAATGGCGGAAGCCAGCGAAACAAGTTCAGCCAAGGGTAAACGTAGCAAGAAGATCAAACCGCAGGGCCTCCAAAGCCCTTCTGTGAAATCGCCCCTTCTCTAAGTGATATCCAATCTTGCACAATTTTTTAAATTATTATTTTATTTTTTTATATTTATTATTTTTACAAATAACTCAAAGCGGCAAATGTAGCCCCACACACACACCTTCTTCCTCCTCCTACCTTCCCCACAACAACAAACTTGAGATGGGTCGGGCTTAGAGAGAGGGACTAGCTTTTGTATCTAAGACAGGACTAGAACTCTCAGTCTCCTGGTGATTGGCCCATAGATACCCAGCTGGCTTTTATGCCTAAGGCGGAAACTAGAACTCCATGTCTCCTGCTTTCCAACCTGGTGCCTTAACTAGATGAGGAATTTGCTTCTGGAAAAGATCTGGATTTGAGGGATTACAGGAGAAGCAGGATTTGCCTCTCACCCATGGAATCCAACTTTGTGCATTAGAATGCCAACTATGCCATGAAACTTAACTCGGACAATAGAATCCCCCCCCCCAGTCAAATTCACAATAAAAAAGGCTAATCTATTCTACAAGGAGCATTGAGTTACTCCTGATATAAGAATACAAATAGCCAGCCCAGTCTCTGTTCTCCACAAAAATTAGTGTTTAGTAAAATCAGATGAGTGACCCCCCAATCAGTCCCAAATAAGAATAGGAAATCAAGCTCACAAAGAAAATCTTGATCCTTTTAATTCTGATTTGCTAAAAAAAACGTTGCCAAGAAAACTGCAGGGACCTGTCCAGAAAGTTTCTGAGAATTGAACATGATTGAATGAAGGGGGGGGGGGGAGTATATAATTTCAAAGATGAAGAAACGAATCCAAGCTAAACATACATGAATATGAATTAAAAAAATAAAGTGCAGAAAATAAAAAGAGAAAAGGAAGAAAAGATAAATAAAAAAAGAAAAGAAACATATAAATAAGTAACTTCTCCCTTCATCACTGCATGTACAAGCAATTTCAGCAGCTTATCATTTTCTCTGAAAATACAATAAAACATCTCTGTTTCCCATATATTCAGTTCAGGTCAGCAAAAGTCCATTGGGGGTTACCAGAAATAACATTTATATTTTATACCTAAGCCAACTTTATATTGCTTCCCTTTGGTTTTAACAATGTTAATCTTTAGTCTATTTAAATAATTTCTCAGAAGTTAATTTCTTTTAATGGTGTCTCTGTTCCTTCTCAGAAAATCCTTCAAAATTTCCACAAGTCTCTTCCAAATTCAAAATAAGAAAAGTACCCAAGTCATTCTTTTGGTTTCTTATTTGTATATCCCTTATAATTACTAAGACTTGAGTTGGTTTCATTTGTATATCCAGTATAACATCTTTTTACTTACCATTCTTGTAACCTATCATTTTTAAATCCATATTCAAATCAGCCTGCCTTGTCCAGTAAAACTTGTTTCCATTCTATAATCTCTTTTAAAACCAGTTAGTCTATGATAGCAGACAATTTTAAGATTCTTGAGTTTATTGTTCAAAAATGCCTTTCAGTTCATCCAAAATTAAACTATTTTGCTCCATTTTGTGTTACTAAGGCAAATGTTAAGTATTTTGAATTATAAACTTCAGTTTATTTACATTCTCTCTAGTGTCTAACATTTAAAAAAATGTGTTGTTTTTTTTACTAAATAACAGCATTTTCCCATGGGAAGATTTCTTATAATTATTTGAAATCCCTCTGGACCTTTTAACCCTTTTATAACT